TATTCACAGCTTGAGACTTTCCCAGAAGAAGCCAGACAGCTGAGGAAGTGGAGTAACTAGAGAGCCTTAAGCTTCAATATTTGCAAGAAGAACAAAGAAAAGCTTTGCTCCAGAGTTTGAAGAAATTAAAAGTTTTAATCTAACAATGTATAATAAATGGAAAACAGATACAGCAATTACCGTTCCCATTTCCTTTCCAATATTTAGTGATGAGAAGTTGGCCGAGTCCCAGACTGGAAAGATGGCTTAAATTCCTAAATCCTGCCACTGCAATTTTGTATTCCTTTTTTCAGATGCCAGACTTGAGCTTTTCTGGAAAAATGCTGTTTAAATGTATAGGCACCACCAGACAGATCAGATTTTTTCCAACATCAGTTGAATCCCATCTATGGTTTGCATGTCTATCCGCTGCTTAAAGGGAAACAGAAAAGCAACATATTGCAGTTATATTCAGCATAAAATATGCAGACATACACTTTGGCATGAAATCTTTTCTTAAATGGCTCTCTACCCCAACCCCACCATCTCTGACAACCACAGATCAATACACAATCCTTTTTAAATGGAGGAGGAAGTAAAGTGCTTATTCAGAGCTGAGTATTAAAACATTTTGTTCATGAGCTGATATGTGGCTTTTTGATAGCAGTTATTAGAAACTACAACAGAAACTACTTCCACTTTTCCATTGGATTTTTATGTTTTTATGGCAGATGTAAGTCATTCAAAGGCAAATATTTGTAGTAAACCACCTGCCCCCCATACATTTCTGTGTTTCTCAGTTAAGTACATGGATATGCCTTTTGTGGGAGGAAAGCCCCAAGACACCATTGGTCCTCAACAGGGATCCTGTTGACCGTAGCGGAGTACAACATTCAACTGGTGCAGTAATATGGGATCTTCCCCTAGCAGATAACACGCCACTATACTGACAAAGATCCCTGTTATGGAAATCTGGCTTACACTTGCATAGAAAGGTACTGGATGCTTCCTTGTGCAAGGTCTGTAAAAGTTATACTGCTTGCACTACATTTATTGCATAAATAATTCACCCCCAAGAGGATCCTGCCCTACAGACTCAAGATGATGCAGGAAATGTAAAATGTGATAATTTATAAAAGTAAGGCATGAAATATCAAGAACTAATATACTTCTTTGTGGTGGTATAAAGTAGTTATAGCCGTTAAGAACTTAGTCATACTTTTGAACAAAGCAGCTGAATATTCAGGGAGAGAACAGTAATACTGAGTAGTTTTAATAAATGAGTTTTTAAACCAAATATATTCTACATTTTTAATTTTCACCAAAATAACCTGAATTTGACATTTGCTGGGTTCCTATGTTTACCACCTAACATGCAGATCAAGGACATTTGCTTTTGGCTTTTGTGTCATTTTTCTTCTTTTAGTAGTGATAAAGAAAAGAATATGCAAAGTATTGAAAGTATGCTTATGCTTACAGAACAGGGCGAGTGAATAGAAACTCTTGACCCCTAGAAATCCTACTCAGCTGTCTTGGTCTTTACAACAGCAGCACCTATATACTTTCTAGTGTAGTATCTTAGGTCTTCTGGATTGGAAACATGGAAATCAACATGGAATAAGCATATTATGGTGTAGTGTCCTGATATACATATCCTTTCCAATTTCAGAAGTTTTAGGATGTAAATGAAGGACTGCTGGTACATGTCCACTTTTTTCTTTCAGTGTAATCACATCTGATTGTATTCCTGTGATATCTTTTGTAACAGATTAGTCTGCATTCTTTAATTACTTCTGGGAATACCTATCCCATATGAGAACAAATGTGTTCTAAGTAATAAGGCCAAGTGATTATTTTACTGTATCCTTATTGATTACACGCTGGAGAGTCTCATGGCCTGTATGGGTTGATGGCTCTTTACTTCACAATTTTCCCCCTGAAGTAAACAACAGCATGCAACAAAAATTTGGAGTGCCGAACGGTGAATTGTAACAAGCAGTTAAAGCTGGTCCTCCCTGCCATCTCACACTGAAAGGATTACAGCTTGTCTTATACGGTTTGCAGAGACAATTCTGCATATTCAGAAGCAGAGGCCATGATTTAAAAAAAAACAGAAAGACTTGTACATTTCCTACTTTGTCAATAGAGGCAGAGAAGTAATTAAGTACCTGGATGCGAGCCAGGTTTCCAGTGAGGTTTGTCTCCTGAATTGCAGCCGTGCTAGTATGCCAAGTGTGTAGCGCTGCTGTACGAAGCTGGGAGGAGGAGGAGGAGGAGGAGGAGGATGGAAGCACGAAGGAGGGGATCGATTTGCATGCAGCCAATTGACAGTATGCGGCTGTTCTTCTGGCTGACTTTCAAAAACCAGAAGAAAAGCAGCCACCGTGCTAATTGTGGCAAGGTCCCGAAGTGAAAATGTTTTGTGACAGTTGAAAGAATTTAAGGAGGAAGGAAGATCGGTTTAGTGTCAGCTGCAATTAGATAATCAAAGCTTTAAAATCCTCATCTGTTGCTACCTTACCTAGAGAGTTAAGGGGGCTGCATCCTGAGGTGGGGGCTGGAGGAGTCTCCTTGTGTGGAAAGGGCATTTCCAAAAGCCAGCCCGGTAAAGGCCTGAGTGAGCTTGTAGGTTGTCCGGGCGCACACTTGCACCGAGCGATTTTCTTGGCAGCTCTACAGGATGAGGCTCACTCTGTACACAGCCGACATATTGAAGCCGAGAGCCCAGGCGAACCTAGATGCAGGAGGGGAGGCAGCTCTGCACACAATGTAGCGTCTCCTAGGATGGTTGGGCAGCTCCTTTCCTCAGGTATTTCATTCCTTGGCAGCCCCGTTAGAGTAGCAAGCAGGGGGGGGAGAAGAAGGGGGCAAATAGCATCTGCTTCTGTTAAATCAATTTATTACATAAGGTTTCAGAGAGCAGCAGCAGCAGCAGCAGCACAGCGTCCTAAGCTTTTGGCTGCCTTTCAGGTTTGATAAAATGGCGTCCTCAGAGAAAGAGCTGCTTGCTACAGATACGCTATGTTAGGCAGAAAAAAAATGAAGTTATTATTTATCATTATCTACTGCTGTTTGGTTTTGGAGTGTTAGTATTTCGTAGAGTACTCATTATCTAATAATGAAGAATGCTCTGTTTTATGCTGTTCAGCTCTTTTCCGGAATGCATTAAAGGTTTCTCACATCAGAGGGAGCATATTTTGTTGCATACCGTAGAGGAAAAGAATGAAAAGAGCAAAAGGCTTTTCCACTCGTGTTACCTAATTTTGGAGCTGCTCTGCAAATAGAGCTGCTTTATTTAGTGTACTCATCTCTTCACTCTGTTACATTTGCATGTGCCTTTCCGGCACCATTTTACAGTCCAAGCATTTATGCTGTCAGTGTTCTTGTAAAAGCAAACTTACAGTACAGATTCCCATTTAAACATTCGTACAGTGGGAAATTCAAAGTATAAAAATCAGCCAGTGACATAAAAGCAGCAAATGGAAAGATGTTGGCTGCTTGGAGTCTTCCGAATTGGTAACCGTTTTCAAATTGGTGGAACACCAGAGTATAAATACTGGTGAAATCTCACATATATTATTGTTGTTAAACAGCTTTGGAGAGACTTAACCTGTTTCATTTGAAAATACTATTTTTGTCCCAGCAGTGCTGCACATTTTAAAGTGAATATCCACGTTTTATATAGAAGGTTGTGTTTGGAATTAACATCTCGTATGACTTAATTGGGCATTTAAATTAGCAAGTATGGTACCCATATGTGGTGCAAATGTGGCATGGATAACTTTTCATTTCTATGAGGGAAATCAGTCTCGTCTCCATTTAGAATCGAAACAGCTCAAATGTAGAAATCTAGAACGCAAATTGTTTGGGGAGTGGTTTATGTGTTGACCTTTAACAACTGTTAGAATTCTGCTTGATTGGCTCATTGGTCAAGTTTTGTTCTTTTTTAAAATTCCTGGTTAGATATGACATATACCTTGCGTTTTTGCCAAATAGTTATCAGTATTGCGCTACAAAATGTTAGTGATTATCTTTATTAATGGTCGTCATAATTATCCTTTTCATACTGGATTTTCTGTCTTTTAATATATCCAAAGCCACAGTCCTGAAATGTCTATATTTTCTTGTTGGTAATCTCAGAGGCTAGTCCTATGCTTGGCAGAACTAATGTGTCTGATCTGATTTAAGGGAATACCTTGCCCCAGTGTTTCTGCAATGTTCATGGACTCCACCTTCTGTGTTGGAGTGACAGCTTGTGAGTGGGCGTGTATGTATGGTGTACCATGTATTCCATCAGTATTAAATATGCAGATATAGTTTATAAAATGCTTCTCTGATTTCATCTAATTCCTGAAAGATGTATAAACTGAAAATGATGAAATGTTATTATTTGTAACTTAGTGTTTCTAATTTTGGAATCAGCCTAATTAAGATGATTTTTTTTTCTTTTCTGTTTTTAATTTCAGTAAAATATTACAACTATGTGTGACAGAGATAAGTGAAATTGCTTTCTTCAATCTAGAGCCTCTCTTCTGTTTAAAATATATTGTACACTCATAATTTATTTTGCAGTCTTTACTGACAATCAGCAGTCTGTCAATATTTGTAATATTTGTTTGTTCTAAACAAAAACCAATTTGCAGTATGGCTTTAAATTTCTGTGACAGGTACAAAATATGTGTTTGCATATCATGTAGTATAATTTTTCAACCTAGCCTTATAGGTGCAACTTAACAAAAAAGAAATAGCATTTAAAAATAGAATTAGTGTGACATGTAGTTATTTTTCAGATTTTAAAATGCGTTATTGTATTTTTAGAGGAAGCTACATTATCCCAAGAGCATAGCAAAAGTGGGATTTTTGTTGTTGATGATGCATAATGCGTAAACTAGGTTGTGAGGGAGGGAGGGAGGAAGTATCTCGAATGACATAAACATACAGTAGCACTCAAACAAAAAATGCAAGTGATGTATTTGAGTCATTGGATAGCAGACTAATTTACATCATATTTAATTTTTCAGACCTTGGTCACAGCGGATTGGGAGATCATTATGAGAATACTCACTGGGGACAGCAGCCCACTTTCCGAAGTGAAGCCAATTGCAGCTGGGATAAAGTGATAATAGACAGGACTGACAAGGAAGCGTGGCCTTCCATTACAGGAACTGAGACTGAGTCTGCCTCAGAATGTACTACAGACACTGACTCTGCCTCCAACTGTGGCTCAGAGAACAGTAGCATGGCTACAGGGAGTGCCCAAGGCAACTTCACTGGACATACAAAGAAACCCAATGGCAATAATGGCACCAATGGAGCACTCATCCAAAGCACTTCTAACCAGAGTGCCCTTGGAGCTGGTGGAGCAAATGGTAATGGAAATTCAGCCAGAGTGTGGGGTGTTGCCACAGGTTCCAACTCTGGCTTAGCTCATTGCTCTGCCAGCGGTGGAGATGGAAAAATGGACAACATGATTGGAGATAGTAGAAGTCAAAATTGCTGGGGTGCTTCCAACTCAAATGCTGGCATAAATCTTAACCTTAACCCGAATGCCAATCCAGCTGCCTGGCCTGTACTCGGACATGAAGGAACTGTGGGAGCAGGCAACCCTTCCAGTATTTGCAGTCCAGTCAGTGCCATAGGTCAGAACATGAGCAACCAGAATGGGAACCCATCAGGCACCTTAGGTGCTTGGGGAAACTTGTTGCCGCAAGAGAGCACAGAACCACAAACGTCCACTTCTCAGAATGTGTCTTTCAGCGTACAACCTCAGAACCTTAACACTGATGGACCAAATAATGCTAACCCCATGAACTCTTCACCAAACCCTATCAATGCAATGCAGACAAATGGACTGCCGAACTGGGGCATGGCTGTTGGCATGGGGGCCATCATCCCACCCCACCTGCAAAGCCTTCCTGGTGCTAATGGGACATCAGTTTCTCAAGTCAGTGGGGGAAATGGTGAAGGAATGGGCAATTCAGTGTGGGGGATGTCCCCAAGTAATCCTGCCACAGGAAACAGCAATTCTGGGTTCAGTCAGGGGAATGGAGACACTGTGAACTCAGCATTAAGTGCTAAACAAAATGGATCCAGCAGTGCTGTGCAAAAGGAAGGAAATGGAACAAGTGCATGGGATTCAGGGCCTCCTACTGGTCCTGGGGTCTTAGCGTGGGGCAGGGGCAGTGGCAACAGTGGTGTTGGTAATATGCATTCTGGTGCTTGGGGTCACCCAAGCCGCAGCACCAGCAATAGCATTAATGGTGAATGGAGCAAGCCCCCAAACCAGCATTCCAATAATGACATCAATGGGAAAGGATCAACAGGGTGGGATAGCTCTAGTGTTACCAGCCAGAATCCTGCCATGCAGCAGGGCAATGAACAAATAAACTCTTGGGCCAAAGCTGCAGCATCTGGCAACACAGGTAGTGAAGGAAGTAATGATAGTAATGGGAGTCAGAATGAAGGCAGTGGTGGCAGAGAAGGAGCTGGAGAGGGCCGACGAAGAGACAAGGGTATGATAGACCAAGGGCAAGTCCAGTTGCCAAGGAGTGACCTTGACCCAAGGGTTCTGTCCAACACTGGATGGGGACAGACTCCTGTAAAGCAAAACACTGCCTGGGAATTTGAAGAATCTCCAAGGTCTGAACGAAAGAATGACAATGGAACGGAGGCCTGGGGTTGTGCAGCTACTCAACCTTCAAACTCGGGGGGCAAGAATGATGGGTCCATCATGAACAGTACAAATACCTCTTCAGTATCTGGGTGGGTCAGCTCTCCGCCTGCAACAGTTCCACCTAATACAGGTTGGGGCGACAACAATAACAAAGCGCCAAATGGCCCTGGGGGATGGGGAGAGCCGACATGTTCTACTGCTGTTAATAATGCTGCTGCTGCCAAAAGTGGCCACACTTGGAGTGGGACCACAAATCAGGAGGACAAGTCACCCACATGGGGTGAACCTCAGAAACCCAAATCTCAAAACTGGGGAGATGGACAGAAATCAAATCCAGGCTGGACTTCGGGGAGTGGAGATTGGGTTGATTCCCCATCTGTCCCTGGACACTTGGGAGATGGGAAAAAGAATGGTTCTGGATGGGATGCCGACAATAGATCAGGGTCTGGTTGGAATGATGCTACACGTTCTGGGACCAGCGGATGGGGAAATGGCACAAACAGCAAGGCTAATACAGGTACAAGCTGGGGAGAATCTTTAAAACCCAGTCCCCAACAGAATTGGGCTTCTAAATCCCAGGACAATAATGTGAGCAATTGGGGAGGAGCTGCTTCTGTTAAACAGACTGGATCAGGATGGGTTGGTGGACCAGTGCCAACCAAACCGAAAGATAGTAGTGAAGCAACTGGATGGGAAGAGCCCTCTCCACCGTCCATACGGCGCAAGATGGAGATTGATGATGGTACCTCAGCTTGGGGGGACCCAAATTACAATAACAACAAGACTGTAAACATGTGGGACAGAAATAATCCTGTAATCCAGAGCAGTACCACAGCCACCACCACCACCACTACCATTATCAACGCAAACATGGCTGATTCTCAGCCACCGCACCAGTCAAGTGCCCAGTCAAACCGGTCCCCGCTGCTTGGTCCAGGTATGATACATGTTTTGGTTTCTTCTAATACGTGTGCTATACTTTGGAAAGAAATTTGTAAACATTGTGGTGTAGAGTGTAGTAAGAGTTTTAAAGTACTGACAGTTTTAAAGATATATTCACATTTGATATGAATAACGCATAAAGGTGATATCTAGTATATTCATTTTCATCAGAATGTGTGTGTGGGTTTTCAGCCCAAAATTAAAGTTCACAGTTAGAGCAAAAATAAGAAGGTAACAATATAATCCTAAGCATTTTTACTCCCAATATCCTATTGAATTCTTTGAGACTTACTCTTATGTGGTTGTATTTAGGATTTCAGCCTAAACTAGGGTTGGCAGATGAAAATGTTAAATATAAGAAGAGATCAATAAAAGGGTGAAAAATATGCAGATAATATGCTATTAAATCAATTTCTATAACATTTTTCTTTCAAAATTGTAAATGAAGAATATCTTTTGCTGATGGCCGAGAGCAAATGGAAAAAGTGAAATAAAGATCAGATTATAAAATGACTTTGCTAATTAGATGGAAACACCAAGTCCTCAAATCACAACATATGTATATAAACAAGTGTGTTTAAAAGCCACAACGTGATTATTATGTTCAATCAAATGTCTTTCATTTAGTCTAGACACAATTATTTGGCTTTTAGAATTTTATAGAACAGGTCCTAAAATATTTTTCTCACAAGATGTGCCATATTTTTCTAATCTGCTGTCTTCGTTCTGTTGCTGTTTATTCTCTGTCCAGTCTTTGATACTGATTCTCAGATAACATACATCTGTTTCTATTACTCTGGCTGTTGCCTGCCAAATACATATTTCTTCTATTGTGAACATTTCCAAAAAGACTGCTTAGTTGTTGGAACCACTGATTTTTTTTTCATTAGCTCATACAATGATTTTTCTGTATTGAAAAATAGGAAAGTACACGTTTCACTTTGGTTGACTGGTTGAAAAAAAATAATTAGCTGTGATTTGTGTCATAGTAAATTTCTAAATGTCCAGGTTTTTTTACAGTAGTGAAGAAAACTTCCAAAATGTTTTGAAGTCTTAGGTAGTTAAAAATGTTAATATATTAGACTAGAGTCTACAACCCATTTTTAAATATATTTTAAAAAGCAGGTCTCAATAAGGATGGAAAGTTTTTGTAGAGAAAGAATTTAAATACAGTACTGTAATTCTGTTTGTGCTCCACCTGATAATGTTTGTAAGATATTTCATTCCTTGTGAATGAGCATATTCTCTCTCTCTTTTTTTGGGGGGGGGCTGGCCTTTGAGCTCCATGTCTCTAGAAGTTTAGAGTGTCCCTATAATGGAATTTTTTGGGTGTGCTGTAATTAGTTCTGGGTCCCCTGAGCTTTACTTAAATATATTGTCCTTTATTCAGATGGGTACCAGGCAGCTTTGTGTACTCAAGAGTCATTAGCCAGAGTAGTGACATCATTGAGGTTGAATGAGTACACTTTAAGTGGCTTAATGAAGGGAACATGTCTGTAACAAGTACCATGGAATCTCCATGTGAGCTAAGCAGGCATCAGCCAAGTAGGATCAGTTTTGTGAGTGCACCCTGATGTGCAGGACACATAGGGTGCCTTCTTGGTCTTTTTAGCTCCCCTCCCTCCCAACTCTCTTGGCTACTATTTAAAAGATTCTCAGGGAGTGGAGATCGTGTGACTAAAATTGAGGTGGAGGTACGCTTGGACTGGTGCATTTACTCTTCATTAAGTATCCCTTTTACCTTTTCCTCTGTAATATGAGTACTAGAAGTAATAAGAGTACTGTACTAGAAGTGCCTTCTCACTGTATTTTGGTCATGTGTGTTTGGTAGATGCATATACAAGGAAACCAAAACTTATTTGTTGGGCACTTTTGCTTAGACCACGTGGGTTTATGCATCATTGCCAGCCAGTAATACCAGACTGCAGGTTGGAGTTAACAGTGGTAAGCAGTGGCCAGAATAGCATGGATATGTAATAGGGAAGATTGAGTAGCCTGACCCACAGTGGCAGGAACAACTGTAATAGTCACAGTGACCCTACTGAGCTGTGTTTGTTGACTCATCCTTCAACTTTCACTGAGTACACAGACATTTTCCCACACTTCTGTTTGTTTGAAAAGTGATCACTGTGTGAGCAACAAACAAATCAAAATAACTGAATGAATAAGAATGAATGAATAAGATGTGTAATTGAATCTTAATGGAGATTATTTCACCACAGGGGATTTAACAACACAAAATTCTGACAATTATTTTATATTTTTAAATTTATCTTCTACCCTAGCTCAGAAGCTGCATGTTTATATATACTCCTCTCAAGTGGTAATCTAGATCCCTTATTCTTTAGAGATTAGCTATAGAAGTACTCACCAAATTCCCAGTTTTCAAGAAAGGGTTTGTAGCTGAGTGACTAGTACCTATGGCCCCGACAGTTATTTTACATTTCCTCCTCAATACAGTTCTCCAGTACTAGCTAGATTCTTATTCCATTTATAGTTTCTCTGTGTACATACATTTAGTTTGAGAAACAAACCAGATCTTATAGGTGAATAAGGATGGGAGATGAGTCTTCTGGTGCTAGACACGTCTTCAGCAGTAGACTGGTCACAAGCAGGACCAAGAAGAAGGAAGCTAGCTTAGCTGGAGTTATTTTTAAAAATCATTTTAATACCTTAATCAAATGCATTCATACATACATACAGTACATATATATGCCTATGTGTTCTTTGAATTACTCATAAGGGAAAATATCCCTCAGTCTTAATATACAGTATCAAAATAATAGAAATTAGACAGTATAAATATTGTAGGGTTTTTTTGGTACAAGAAGAAATTAAAGTTGAGACTTGGGGAATGTAAAAGTGGAAGAAGGAATGCCATAGAGGAAGGAGTTCTTTGGCTAATCCTACACATGAATAGAACTGAGAGAACGAAAATGATATAAGCAACCCATTCTCCCTGTCTCAGTCCAATGGGAAACAAAAACTTGTCCCTTCCTTCTTCCTGCTGCAGTCATGTAGCTTCTACAGTCATATTTACAGGCTCTTCTGTAGCCACGAGACCTTTAAAAAGGGCTGTGTTGCCTGAAACAGAATGCCACCTTTTACTCCCTGCCTGTTAATTCCTGTAATTGTGTTACTACCTTAGCAGTGCCAGCACTCTTAGGCTTATCCTCAAGGCTGTGGTCTGGGGATGGAATATTTCATTTGATTAAGGTATTACACATACCATATCCCAAACTTTAAAATACTGTTTATTATTCAGTAAAGTTACACAATAGTTGCTATTGCTGTGGCAAAATGGTGGCAGCTTAGACCCTCCCCTCTCTCACTGTGTCTTGTTCAGAGGAGGGACCCTGTTTTGAGAGCAGTGGTGAGCTATAGGCCCATGTGCTGGAGGGTCTTGACGGAACATTGCATGCATGCAGCAGCAGTACCAACAGCACTGTTGAGGTTATCCAGGGAACTATAAAGATGGCTGCAGCAGGCAGAAGAGGTGATGGATTAGGAAGAGGGTCCTGACCTGACCCACTGCTTCTCTTGATCTGCACAAGTTAGGTATATTGCCTCCATTGTCCTAATGGGAGGGCAGGACTCCATAAAACATCTTGTTTTTTTTAAAAAAAAGAAACAAGCAAATCCTGAAGTTTTCAGCCTTCTGGGAAAAATAGTCCTTTGTGTTTGAGATGGTACTGCTATCCTCCACCAATAATGTGGCCCGATTATGGCATTCCCCAGGGTTGGTACTGATATAATATGGTGGATTAACAATGGAAACCCTTCATCTCTAGAATGCTAGTCAACTGCCATGATTTGTGTCATCAGTGTCCGTACCTGGTCACCCATAGGGGAAAGGCAGCCTCTGTGTGGGCAGGTGTTTAGTAAATGCTCCCAGCCTGAATGGGAGATTATCAACCTCATGAAGAGAAAGGGCTTATACTTTTCTTCTGCAATCAAACTTCACTGTCACTCCCTGGTGAATCAGATACCTAGATGTGATAGTATTCTTCACTTAAGGAAACTAAAATGGTAGCAAGACACAATTTTCATTGTAATTTAGAACTCTGATAAAATATTGTCTTCTAGTGATGTAATGCGGTGAGCCTAATAAGATGTAGAAATTTCTTATTTTGAATCATTTGTGTGCCATCAGGACCTAATCGATTTCTTTTTGAACTTACAGGAGTTGTAAAAAACATATATGTATGATATGCTATTCAGTTTTTAAATTTCAGTGGCTCCAAACATAACATTCCAGTGGTTCAGTATATCTTGTTGCGTGGGAGGGAGGAGGAGAAATATTTAAATGATGCACACGTTATATTGCCTCTAGATAATGGGAAGGAAAGCATTTAGACTTAAAGATGTAATGTCTCTACTCCTTAACAAAGGAAATAACACAATGGAGACTGAGCTCTGGGTCCCTAGTAGTTTTCTGAGTTGGGAGTCCACCCCCATCTACTCATTCAGAACATCTAGCTTTAAGGAAGGAATTGAGTAGCTCAACTGATAAGTCTAGTTGTTTAAATACTTTCTCTCACAGGTAATCAGTCCAAAGCTCACAGTGCTCTGTTGTGGCACAGAATATACCAGTCCTGAATCTGAATCATCTATGCATACTGTAGAGAGGATACATAGATTTTACTATGAGTATTCTTCTTACCTAATTAAAAAAAAAACTATTGCTGATTCGTAGGAAAAAGGACATATCTCCTTCTATACTTGAAGTATGATTGGCCAGTTTCTGCTCAGATTTTAATGTAAAGCAGTTTGCAGGTAGGTACAACAAATTCTCATATAAGTGATTTGTTTTAAAAGCAGTTGTCAGATTTTCTCTGGAAAATGTGAAAAAACAAAATCCGGAACCCCTAGACATAAAAGCATCTTCCTGTATCCCAACAGTGACTGGTTGCTTAAACATGGCTATATCTGGACATTTGTAGCTTGCACAATAACAAACGTTAAGCCTAGCCATGTATTAAAAAGTGAAAACCTGAATTTAATACCATTTGGATTTTCAATTCTAGATGGACTGCACAGGAAGAAAACAAAACAAAGCAAAAACAGAACTTAAATCAGTTCCAGTGATCATGAGAATAGAAAAAAGCTTTTTGTTTACTGAGATGCATGTTCTTGGTTATCCCATGGAGACATTATGTGATTTGCCTACTGATTTGTGGTTTATTTTATTTTCAAGTGGCCCTTTAGGGAGGAAGTTGTGCTGGTGCAATACAATAGGGTGTTGTGGGATAAGAGTTAGCCATTTCTCCAGGCACCTCTTCAGCTATACAGGCATAAGAAATGAAAAATAAATGCCAAGTGATCTCTCATAGCTCCTCACCAAAAAGGATTCCCCCTCCAGCTCTTTCTCCTACTGTGGTTTTTTGCAGGCAAAATGTAGCCCATCCATTCAATGCAAGCAACACTATGAAGTTTATTACCCACAATTGAATTTTCAGGTGAATTCAAAAATCCTGAACAATATTTGGTAGATCTTCTGTCCATTAATTTAAGAGAGTATTTATAGTACTTATTTTGCCACATGCTAATTCGAACTTCAGAGACACTGGCCACAATCGTATTGATTACACAGTGGCATAAATTATGGCAGTAAATTGCCTCATGTTCACGAGTTGCCACTTGTATCCCTCCTTGTGCATCAACTGCAGCAGGTGGCATGCAATGAGAGAGACAAGCTGCAGCTCAAAAATAATTAGTAGCCAGTCACAACTGCAGTTTATGCAATTGCACTTATGCCAGCTTAATTAACTAACATTCATTCATTCATTCATTCATTCATTCATTCATTCATTCATTCATTCATTTATTTATTAGATTTCTATCCCACCCATCTAGACCAAAGGTCTACTCTGGGCAGTTGAACTTATCCTAGTTCATGTCAGTTTTTCTAGTAGATACAGGAAATCAGGAATCTGAAATTTAGGACTTTTAAATACATGTGAGTCAATTACTTATCATCAATTTGATTAGAATAAAATGAGGTACAGTGTTGAAGTAAAGTGTGGCTTTGCTATTACCCTGTTTCCCTGAAAATAAGACCTAACCTGAAAATAAGCCCTGGTATGATTTTTCAGGGTGCTCCTAATATAAGCTCTACCCCAAAAATAAGCCATAGTTAAGTGAAACCCCACCCTCCACCATTGTGCAGCAACCAGAAGAAGATGACACGACTGTATTTGAATAAATGTAGATGGTTGTACATGAGAAAATAAAATATGCCCTGAAAATAAGCACTAATGTGTTTTTTGGAGTAAAAATTAATATAAGACCCTGTCTTATTTTCAGGGAAACACAGTAACATATCATTCAGCAGGTGGAGATCTTTTGAGTGAAATTTATCTGAAGCCAGGGAAAGCAAATCAGTGTTACAGAAGGTTTCCAAGTTAACAAGGAATGCCTTGTTTATGTTGGGAGATTAAGCATAACAAATGTCACAGCTATAGAAAACCAAATACACTTTCTCTCATCCTTGAGATTTCCTCACCATATTTTGCTAATACCTGCAAAAGTTTCTGGATGCATACTTCTGGAAACATATGAAACACTAGTACAGTAATACCTTGTTTTGCCTGATTGAAAAGTGTGTGTCTATGTGTGTTAAGAAATGCAAATATCATAGCTATTCTTAAATATTATAGCTATTCTTAAATCACCAGTGAATTTTGAATTGGTTCAACTGTAAAAGTAAGCAATGCCCAAGCTGCTGTTTAAGTATTTTTCTAATTAACTGTAATCACGATCAACTCTGTAACTTTTGCACTTCATTTAAACTCTGAAGAACTTTACAGATTATGTTTACATATGTTACTGTTTTCATATAATAACAACTAATTTGCTGGGGCATGAACTCTATTGTTGTGGCCAATAATTTACCTAATATTATGTGGCTCAATACATAATGTATTTAACAAAATGACTAGCACGATACTGATTGAGATTGATCATTATTATTGACTATAAAGGGAAACTGGCCTCTTCCTTTTTTTACTTAATAAATGAATCTACATGTTGCAGTGGAAATTACAGTGCTCAGAATGAAATTAAATATATTTTTACAAAGGCTGAGAACTCTTTAAATTATGCATTCTGGCTTCCTTTCTAATATTTAATGATCCTTAATTTCCTCTGTGACAATATATATGTCAGTATATGAATGCAGAATGAAAATGGAAGTGAGCAGAAGTGAAGTCAAGGATTTGATCATTTCAGATAAATAGTTGCAGCTCTTTGCCTTATTAACCTTTTCCATGTGCCCTATTCTGTCTCTGGTTTTCCTTCCTTCCCTTGGACATGTCCATTTGGCCTTGTCTTGGTTAGTCCATAGTTTAGGATATACAGTAATTCTTCTTGTCTTCTAGCCCTCCGCCTTGTGCCTTCTAGTTCTGCTGCTTGTCTCTTCTTTCTCTCCGTTTTCTCTAACCCTTCCCTCTCTAGGACCAGCTTGACTGTCCTGGCTGTGATACCAGCTCCCCAGTCATTCCTAAGCCCTTTATTAGCCCCGTCAGCAGCATAGAGTACCTTAGCTCCTTATAGTGCTCTTGTTTGTGCACAAAGAATTCTCTGGGTTTTTGTAACATTCAGGATTTTGTAACATTCTGTTTTCTGTATGAGAAAACTTCTTAAATAAAAAAAATCAAAAGCTTCAAAAGACCCAGATGAAATGGGAACCTGGAGTAGTTCCTGGTGAAGTTGTACCCAAATATTATCATTGCATTCCAAACCCTGTTTGATGCTTCAGGCATATGTAGTTTCAAATTAGAAAAGTCTGTTGTATACTGATCAGTGTCAGGATGTGTCTGCAGACACACCATTTGACAAATCAAGCTAGTCCCAACAGTAGAGCAGCTCTTGATTATTGTACTGGAGATTGTCTAAATTTTGTGCTTTGTAACGTGAATGAGGGCAAAAGGGTAGATACATTATGGTGGCTTTTTCCATCTGAATGTAGACATTTCCCATTACTATATGTTATTTGAAAAATACTGTAGAAGAAATAATTAACCTCTAGCTGATGTTTTTGGTACGTACTGTAATTATGTCAAAACTCTCTACTTAGGAAAATCCTGTTTGGTTTTAATTTGATCACTGCACGTTGTGTACTGTTGTGAAACTACAAGTGGGTTGCTAGTTATTTGCTGGACTTTGAGTCTATTTACTAGTCCTGTGTGCTTGTAATGTATAAAGTGCCTTATAGTCCATATTCCACCTAACAATAAGTCTTTAGATCAGTCCTTACAACCAGTTCTCAGTGAGAGCAAGTGATAAGATTTGTCCAAACTTCCCCAGCTGGGGATTAAGAAGGGATTTTAACCAAGGACTCACTGAACCTTTTTCAGTCTCCTCAGACTGGATGAGTAATGAAACATTTCAGCCTGATAAGAAAGAAATCCAGTTGCCATTACTCAACTTCCAGATAACCTCACCTGGATGATTGAGAATCTTTGCAGATACTCTTTCAGTATCGTACTTCCGGGCAGACATTATAAACAAATTTTATTCTTTAGACAGTTCAGAGATGACATTCCTTCTAATGCTTGAACTTCATATTTAGAAGCCTTCCACAAAAAAAATCTAAAATTAAACAGCATGTTTCAGCATGCTAGATAGAAAAAAATCAACCTGATAGTAAAAGCTAACAGTGATTTCTTTCTTCTGCAACTGGCTAATGACTAGGTGATTAGTGCAATGGTGTATGCTGTCTGTGAGTTACACACCGAGACCTTACTGCATTAAGGTCTAGGCATTGGGAAATAGCAGCACGAAGCTTGACTTCGCAGCGCTGCTTCCTATGATAACTATTCCTTTTGGAGAGGACCAATGGGGAGTAGACTTGAAAAGGTAGGGTTGATCACTAAGATGGCACTTCCCAGTCATCTCATAAGCTGTTTACAGTGATAGGATGGTTGAAAACAAACAGCTTTTAAAAAGTAGAATGGCTCAAAACACATTGTGCTGCAGATACTTTGTTTTGGTTTGAGTGCAGAACTTCAAAGTTAAATATTTTTCCCCTTGCAATTTAATTTTTGGCAGTATATTGCAGGAAGACATCTGGAGAAAGTTCTGTCTTATTGAGAATCTAAGAATCGTGAATGATACACAGAATTCTGTAGAAAGGGAAGCAAATGCAGCCCACAACAGTGGTCTTACATTGCCACTTATCTTGCTGGCTACTATCTCACTTTGTTGAATAGTAAGACTGGATGACTAGACCAGCTTATTTTCCTGAGCCAAATACCCCTTATGAAAACATTAAGAACATGTTGTTCTGGTCTGGACGTAATATTAAGCCGTTGTGTAGTCTTACATGTACACGCCTTTGACTTGGCACTGCTTCAAAGGAGTGATCAGAAGCTTTCATTTACTGTGTTCACTACCTTGATATTTATGTCTGAAGTGAAAACTTTGAGAATCTTAATTATGAATTAGGAAAACAAACTAGGATTGTAAATCATAGTTTGACATTAATTTGTTTTTGTAAACCACAGTTAAGACTAATGACAGTTTGTTCAGGTTTGGATGTAATGATAAAGCAGAGCTAGCTGAAAAACAAACTGCAGTAGTCTGTTATTATAGCTGTTGCGCATTTGTATGAAGTAAACAGATTTTACTTATAACTGATACTTGAAAATATTTATGACAGAGAGTGAAATTGCCTTTTTAATAAATTATATCCTGACTGTGTCATACAGATTCTTGAATCTTCTTTGAAAGAGCACAAATTTAGAAAGTCTGTCTTACAAGGCTTTCTAATTTCTGTTTGTGCCAGTTGCTTCATGTTCACCAGTTTTGCATAGTGATGTTTTTCAGTACTTTTTTGTAAGATGTTTTTGAAATGTTACATTTATTTTTATTTCTTCCTTTTAACCACAGTTGTTCTTTCTTTCTGATTTCAGCAGGCTGGGGAGAGATGCCTGCTGTCCATGCAAAGCCTGAAGCTTCGTGGGGAGAGCCTTCCTCCCCTTCTGCTGCAGTTGATAATGGCACTTCAGCGTGGGGGAAGCCCCCCAGCAGTGGTACAGGGTGGGGAGATAATTCTGCTGAGTCAGCAGGGACATATGGAAGAGTGAGTGCACCAGCTGCCGCCCCAGCACTGTGCAAACCAGGTGATTATGTATGTGTGTATATATTATACTGCCAGAGGTGAAAAACACGGACATGATGAACATTAGCTGTACTTGCCCATAACCCATTTTCAGCTTATACTAAAAGCAGCTTCTGAATGAGATCTGATGTCTGCTTTGTCAATTCATACATAAGCTTGCATGTTAGTAAAATAAAATATAAGTTATGTTTACAATTTTAAAAAGTATAAGAAAGCTAACTTGGATCCTCTGTTTGTCACTTAGCTTCTAAATCTTCTATGCAAGAAGGCTGGGGCAGTGGTGGAGATGAAGTAAATCTCAGTACAAGTCAGTGGGAAGATGAAGAAGCAGATATGTGGAATAATACTGCTTCACAAGAGAGCAATTCCTCTTGTAGCTCCTGGGGGAATGCTCCAAAGAAAGGACTTCAAAAGGTATGATTCAACATGTCGTGTCATAAAAATCACTAAGACAGGTACTGGAATGGTTCATGCAGTGATTTTTATGCTGTCAAAATTATTTGAGGAAAGTCATTATTTTGGAAGAGTATTGCAATAAGATTGACATAAAGATAGATGCATTTTCTGATTTTGTGTGCCTCCTGTTGGAAAGCAGAGGTGGATTAGAGCATTTCTTGAGATTCGATGGCCCATCTCTATTAGAATCTTTCTAACACAATGGAGTTAGTTGTTCTTAATCCAGATAGTGCATAGACACCTCTCGTCATGTGTACAAAGAGCACCTTGGTACTTAGAGTGCAGAACTGTACTACAAGACTCTCCAAGAGTGTTACAGATCGTAACCATGTGAGGTCGTCCTAATAGCTTTAGAAACAAGTGTTATATTTTAACTAAGACAAAGAAATGTGACAGAACTGATGCAGGAGTGAGGGAGGGAAGAAGATAGGATGGTTGACTGCTGGAGAGTGTTCAATCCAAATACTTTTGTGTGATTTGGCTTTTGACTTTTGTAGTCACATTATCAACAAGTCCAATCATTCCCTGGAGTAAGAGACTTGCAGTCATGCCCTGGAAAAAGGGACCAAAGAATAGATATATAACTGTCTAAATAGTGATGGAGCAAACTGTAAGGTCCATTTAAGTGTCACACTTTAGATACTGTGACATTGATAGTGACAAAGACTTTTTTCCCAATGTTCTGTACAGAATGATCCATATCAGAGCTTTTCAGTGTAAAATGGCTTCTTTAAGTGAGCATCTTAGAGGAAGAACCGTTTTCTGGTGATGCATTTCAAGGCACCATCTAACCTGACTTTAAAATGCCCTTTGAAATCATGCTCTGAAATAAAAATAAAAATAGATTAGATCAGAGAGTCACTGGAGTGCAGTTTTTGTTGCAATTTTTTAAAAAGGGTCTGTGTCACATCTTCCTTCAGTATCTTGAACAGTGATTTCTCAAAGTTACTGAAAATAGGAGGGAACTACAAGTAACGTAGTTGTCTGTAACTAGCTACTTCCAAGTTCTATCTAGGACTGCACTCCTAAAATGTTTTCCCGTGTTTCCTTTCAGGGCATGAAGACATCTAGTAAGCAAGATGAGGCCTGGATCATGAATCGTCTGATAAAACAGCTTACAGACATGGGCTTCCCGGTACGTAACATACATACTGTATTCTAGTATCTCCTGTGATTTCACCACTACAGTTGAAAGAATGCAGATGACTATGAAGACTGCATATACATTTCATCAGAATTTAAAACCTGTATACTGTAGATGTACTTGTGAGTACGCCTTGTTATGTTCAGTGAGGCCTATGTTTGTGTTGACATATCCATAGGTTGATAATTAATAGAACACATATATTCCTTCCATGTGCTTATGAATCAAACAAACAAAACAACCATTTGTTGGTTGTTTTGTTCGTTAATCTCTGTCAAGTGCCTACCTACAGGCAAACTTTAGTTGCATTTGTCAGTAATGAGTAAATAGCACATCATGTGTGTTTGACAAAAATGCTGTAACTGCACTGTGCTGAAGCATCTGCTGAACTGAGGCCCTTGCTCAGCATGGCATGAGAACTTTCATACCAAATGTAAAAGGGAAGAGGAGGGTGTCTCTTACTTTGGATTTTGGAACTGACAGAGTGAAAGAATATAAAGTTGAGCAGGGGTTGATTGATTGCCTCTAGGTGGAACAGTGGGTGTGCAAAGTTCTTTCAGGTTATCCCTTGCACTGTAGTTGTTACCAAGGAAAGAAGACATTAGCTGCCACTGCTGAATGGCTGCTATGTTGTTTAAATTTTACCTTAAAAATAGAAGGAGGAAAGATAGAAGAAACAGAGAAAGTTAGGAAGATAAGGAAGGGCAAAGAAATGAAAAGCAATGAGAAAAAGAAATCATGGCATCAGAGGAGTGGGAGAATGGAAGATGCCATGGCAAGAACTATGATTGTATTGGGGTATATTTGAAGACGCTAATGGTTCTAGGCATCATATAGCAACTGTAGTTTGAAGAATATTTTAACATCGTTGTTGCATTTGACTTTTCTGTATACCTGTGGATAACTTGTTATTCTTATTGTATTAATTAAGTGCTGAGCCTAAAAGGAGGTGAGGGGACTTGCTTGGTGCCACATAGTTTCTCTACAGCAAAAACAGAACTTGGGCCATAGTCCAGTTCCACTCCATGCACCCAAATAGTGTCTATCTGAAGTCATTCTGTTGAGGATGCCAACTGTTTAACTGACTCTAGCACCTATGCATTTAGTTGCAGCTTGATTGGAAAATGTTGGCAAGTGATGGATGTTTATATCGATGCTATAAAAAGCTCTTCTGATTGTTGCATATGAAACTGATGTTCATTAAATGTGTAGGGGCAGGCAGGCAGGATCGTGAACTTCCCAATCCATTATCATAGAATAATGTAATAATGCAGTTGGAAGGGGCCTATAAGGCCATCAAGTTTAACCCCCTGCACAGTGCAGGAATACAAATCAAAGGATATCTGCCAGGTGATTGTCTAAATTTCTCAGTCACACCACCTTTTAACTGCCAAATAATGGCAGGAGTGCAGTAACTACAAAGACAATGTTAGCGAGCAAAATTAGGACCACTAAATGAAGGAAAGAATGGATTCAATGTACTCTTAATCACTGCTCCTAGAAAATCATGCTAAATTGAGTTGGAGGGAAAGTTTATATTGCTGATTAACATGCTTATAAAATAGTACTGTTTGAGCCAGTGGAGTGCATCCATCAAAATAATTGATTTTTTCCTTTGGTGAGAAATTTAGCTCTAGATGTGCTCCCCACTTCTCCACTCCATTTTAAAAATTATTACAAGGCCTACAATGTCTTCATTTTGAAGAAACCTCCATTCTCATTTTTTCAGAGAGAGCCAGCAGAAGAGGCCTTGAAGAGTAACAGTATGAATCTGGATCAGGCCATGAGTAAGTACTTCTGTACCTCAAATAGATATCTTTGAGAGATGGTGTTTTACACTGAAAACAATATCGCAGTTCCTAGCAGCATGTTATCAAGGGACTGGGTTGGTTGTGAATTATCTTCCATGCCGAACATAAATCTTTAAAAGGCAAAGCACAACTTAAATTTTGGCTTACAACATGTAAGAGAATGTCACTGATAGCTGTATTCATAGGACTATTATTTATCTTGATTTTGAAAAGTTTCCCTTTGTGTATGTGTGTGTGTGAGAGAGAGAGATAGAGCTTCACCTTTAATTTCCTATTTGCAGGTGCTCTGCTGGAAAAGAAGGTGGAAATGGACAAGCGTGGAATGGGAGTGGCTGACTACAACGGAATGGTCACCAAACCCCTTGGCTGCCGCCCACCACCAATCTCCAAAGAGTCTTCCATGGACCGCCCCACCTTCCTTGACAAGGTAGGCACAGAATTTTGGGAATACAGGTGTTACTATTTACAGAAGAAACATAATAGTGATTAACCCTATAAAAATGGGAAGTGCAGTAGAGGGTGAAAAGGTACCCGTTTGCCCTTTTATTTAGTTCTCCTTTTTTTTCTTAGCTCTTGTAAGAGAAATTTTGTTACAGTGGGGTCTTGACTTGAGAACTTAATCCGTATTGGAAGGCGGTTCTCAAGTCAAAAAGTTCTCAAGTCAAATCTGCATTTCCCATAGGAATGCATTGAAAACCATTTAATCCGTATCTGCTCTTTTCCGTCCATAGAAACTAATGGGAAACTGCTATTCCGCCTTCGACCACTAGAGGGGGATATTTTGTTTCTTTTTTTTCTTAGGTCAAGAAAGGTTCAGGGAAGGCAGAGAAAATACAGTCCAGGCAGTACCAGGCAGTCCGAAGACTGTCTCCCAATCCACTCTCTAAACGCTGGGAGGAGTGAGGAAGCAGACAGGCACCCTTTTCACTGGCCAACAGTTAACTGAAAGTTCACTTTTTGCACTTTCCCTGCCTCCCATGTGGGTTTTTTTCAGTTCTTAACTCAAATCTAAGTACTTAAGTCAAGTCAATATTTTCCTATGAGAGCGGTTCTTAAGTCAAAATGTTCTTAACTCAAGCCGTTCTTAAGTCAAGACCCCACTGTACTGCCATGGAGGTGGAAATGTTTCTGTTAACACACGGCCTTACATATTTGTTGCTTCTAGCTCTTCTTTTATAGCAAGGCTGAGGAACCTTGGCCCACCAGACATTTTGAACTGTTCGTTTGATAGGCTGCCTTTTCATGATAAGGAGACCCAAGGCGGCTGACAGTATTCAAAAGGCTAGAATTAAAAGCATCATAAGTTAAACATTAAAAAACAATTAAACTATGCACTAATTAAAATACAATTGAATAATTAAAAACAAGTAAACATTTAAACTGATGTTAACTTTAAAAAGGCATTCAGGAATTGCAGGGCTCACAGTATTTTACCACTAATTGCTTTCAGTAAGACAGGCCAGAACATGACATGAGAAGTAGAAACTTCTGGAGGACCAAAGGTTCCCCATCGCTCATTCTAAGTACTTAAGTCAAGTCAATATTTTCCTATGAGAGCGGTTCTTAAGTCAAAATGTTCTTAACTCAAGCCGTTCTTAAGTCAAGACCCCACTGTACTGCCATGGAGGTGGAAATGTTTCTGTTAACACACGGCCTTACATATTTGTTGCTTCTAGCTCTTCTTTTATAGCAAGGCTGAGGAACCTTGGCCCACCAGACATTTTGAACTGTTTGTTTGATAGGCTGCCTTTTCATGATGAGACCCAAGGCGGCTGACAGTATTCAAAAGGCTAGAATTAAAAGCATCATAAGTTAAACATTAAAAAACAATTAAACTATGCACTAATTAAAATACAATTGAATAATTAAAAACAAGTAAACATTTAAACTGATGTTAACTTTAAAAAGGCATTCAGGGATTGCAGGGCTCACAGTATCTTACCACTAATTGCTTTCAGTAAGACAGGCCAGAACGTGAGAAGTAGAAACTTCTGGAGAACCAAAGGTTCCCCATCGCTCACTTATAGGAACTACCAAGGAATAGGTTTGAATTATTTGTAGCTGAAATCATGCAAGCAAAATTGCATTTACCTTTTACCATCTAAAACATTTATATACGCCAACATTACCCCCTTGATTTGAAAGGATCTCGGTCACACGTGGCCAGCTGAGCGCAGCCGCTGCAGCCTCGCTGGGTCGCCTCCTCCGGCTGGCGGGGCCACATCCTTGGCCCCGTGAGAGTGGCTCCCTTTCTCCGCCGGCGGGCGACTCCTGAGCAGCAGTCGAACAGCAGCAGGTGACTTGCCCACCGGGGGCGCCTGACGCCTCCTCCTCCGGCACTGGCTCCGGCAGCTGCTCACTAGTGCAGCCGCATCGGGCTTCGGTGTCAGGGGTCCCATGGGCCTTGCTGTCGAAGAGCCGCAACACCTGCCACACAGAGGGCGAGAGGCTCTGCCAGGCCTGGCCAGCGGGTGGCATGGAGGTGCCACCGAAGGAAGCTGTGTAGCCGGGCAAGCGCCGCTGCCACCTGACAGGCTCCTCAAGGAACGGGGACAGGGCATGGGCCGTCGTTGTCCCAGTGCCAGGAGGCTGAGACTGGTCTGGACCACTGTCGTGGCCACGCCCATCCCCCTCCACCACGACCCACCTCTCCAGGCACTGGAAGGAGAGGCTCCTCCTGGCTGGGGCACTCCGACCACTTGCCCCAGCCTCGCCCTCTGCCACGGCCGGCCCCACCACCACTGCCTCGGCTGCTGTATGCCGCCGACCAGGGCCCGTCACCGGCCACCATCCGCTGTGGTTTGGTTGCAGCTGGGCCAGAAAACGGGAGGGGGGCGATTGGGTAGCCAGGGACCCCCCTCCAGGCAGAAGATGAGGAGGAGGAGGAAGAGGAGGGAAGGGGGTTAGGGTCACGTCCTCATTACCCCCAGGATTTTCACTTTTACCCCATTTGGGGTAATTTACCCCTGTTCCCTGATCGTATAGCTATATGAGACAATATGAAATCTGAAAAATGCATTTAGTAATCTTGAACTCTCATCATGGCCTATATTAATGAGAGACAATAATAGAGTTTAAGGAATCCTGAATTTTCTAATGCACACTGTTTTCCAAGATTTTTGTTTCAACCTCCCAAATTTTAAGGGTCACAAAAATGTAATGAAATGGATTACAAATTAAAAATAAGCACCAATTGCTTTTTAATGATACATTTTTCATGTCACAAAAATAATAAAATGCATTCATTGAACTTCTTTAGTTTAATTGTAGCCATATCAAAATGATTTTCCTGCATATGAATGCAATTAATGGATAAAATTAGTAAGGCATTTTGAATGTTTATTTCTCATAAAGTATGGACAGATGCTTCTTTTTGTATCATACCACCAGTGTATACCCACTATTAGGACTAGTTATAATTCCACAGTACTGGGCAAGATTTCATTTCTTTAGAAGTCTTTATCAGGTGGTTGTTGTTATGTGTCATCAGGTTGCCTCTGACTTATGGTGAGCCTATGAATGAGTGATCTCCAAAATGTCCTGACCTTAGTAGCTCTGCTCAGAGGTTGTAAACTCGAGGTCATGGCTTCTTTAAGGAGTCAGTCCATCTTGTATTTGGTCTCCTTTTCCTGCTGCCCTCAATATTTCCCAGCATTATTGTCTTCTCAAGAGAATGTTACCTTCTCATGAATTGTCCAAGTATAACAGCTGCAGTTTAATTCATTTTTGCCTCCAGAAATTATTCAGGCTTGATTTGATCTAGGACACTCTTGTTCATCTCTCTAGAACAGTGTGGTGAAGTAGTCCAGAGAACAGGGTTCAAATCCCCATTCTGTCATGGAAGCTCACTGGGGGAGTAGAACTGGTAAAACCATTCCTTAAATATCTCACTTACCTTTAAAGCCCTATTAGGGTCTCTATAAGTTGGTTCTGACTTGACACATATAACAGCAACAGTTATCATACAGCATGCTTCATCAGGTTATGAGGCAACAAAATAAAACAAGATACTACAGAATTATACATATATAGTTGGTCCTAGAAGTACACACACAGATGCACACACACATACCTCTCACTAACTCTGTTTGTGTTATTAGGACTAACATAGATTACCAAAAGAAAAAGAGAGAGATCAAGGTTTCCAAGTTCCTTAGAATGCTTTGTCAGGAAGGAGATTGTGGGGAGAGGATGCAGTTGCTTTTAAAGCTCGAGATATGTGAGCCTTCACTGGATGATGTATCTTTTGTTTTCAGCTTGATCTGCCTAATTAATTTGAGGAGTACATTATGACAAGTCATTTGCTTTGTTCATAGAACAGCATTTTTTCTGCAGTTTACAGTTTGATAGATAGTATTGCTTCTGTGAATACAGCAAATACTTTGCCTGAAATCCAGCAGTGTAACCTAGACCAGGGGTCCCCAACTCACAGTTCGCAGCCCGGTACTGGGCCTTGGCCTTGGCAGGACTGGGCCGCTGAAACAGATCTCCCCCCCCCACGCATGTACACATGGCCAGCACACACGCAGGGCTCGCCCACCCATGCATGCACAAGCATGCACCCCTGCTCACCCGCAAGCTGTTCGGAAAATGTTGGGGACTACTGACCTAGACCGCATAAGGCTGATGAGCCTCCGCAGTTTTTCAGCACTTAAACATTTCCAGTTTCCACTGAAGTGCCCCCCCCTTCCCGTAGTCTGATATTCGGGACTGAGGTGATTGGAAATTGTTAATTTCCAAAAAATTGTCACAGCTGGTCATGTCATCAGTCTTATGCAGTGAGTTGCACTACTGGATTTCTGCCATTGGACAATGGTATCCAGGTTCAACTAACAACGTTAGATGCAGTTTTTTTAAAAGCCCATCATAAAACTCTCATTCGTTTTCTTTTTGCTCTTTAATACCTTTAAGTTTCTCTGCCATTAAAATGGATACTTTGAGGCAGTTACTGTTAAGTAGAAGTAGCACTTACTATGTGGCATCAGCACAGAAAGGTACAAACGTATATTGTTCCCAGTGTGTTATCTGAAAGTTCTCCTTTGGCCCAGACTGTGGGTATAACTCACACTAATTTTTGTCAAGAAGCAAGGTGCTTCTTGGTATTGCTTCTTTGGGTCTTGCACATGTTCTCCCCAGCATCCAGTAATAGCTTTACTTCCTAGTTTTGTTCCAGGTTTCCTTAGGCCAACCTTTTGTGAACATAGAAAGGAACAGAGAAAACGTAGGCTCCAAATATGAAAATAAAAAGTCCCAGCAGATTCGTTTCTGAAAGTGGAAAATTTTGAGCATTAATTTTTATTCTTTAATTCCTTACATTCAGCATGTGTTATACAGCAAGAAGGGAGCCAGAATTTACTTTAGTGGTACCCAGAGATATTTGCATTGCATGATCAGTTGTGGAGCCTATGTGAGCTCCAAACAACATGCCATGACATGTTCCATATGAATAGAAACACTGCTTTACATAGCAGACCAATCCTCAATAGAAGGAATGCAGGACACTTAAAAACAATTCCTACTTAAAAGGCAGGATAGTATGCTAACCGCTCATGACCTGGGGAGAAGAAGTCCTGCAACCTGTTACTGTCATGCAAGCTGCAGTTTGTGGAGCATGATGGATATTCTTGCAGAATGTTAAACATGTTGAGCCGAAAGACCTCAGGGGTAGGATTAGAAAATGTTAGTGTCCTCCTTCAGCACTAGGATAAGATTCACTGGGTTGATGATAAAGAAATGATGCCTAGGCTTTTGCAAGAAGCTCCAGAGAATCTCCTCTTAGTAGGATATTTATTTAAGACTTAGAAATCTTTGATGTTTGATTGGCATTCACTTGTTATAAGAATAGGAGATATTCCTTGACAGTTAATAATCATCTCAGCAAATGGGGGGGGGGGGAAGAGAAGGTGAGGCAAGTTAGCTTGTAGAATATTTGCTTGCTGAGGGGTATATTTAGACACTGGAGATTAGTTTGCCTTCACAAGGGGGCAGGACCCTTGCTCAGCACCCTGCTGGGTTCTGCGATATGAAACCAGTGATTGTGGAGATGACATTTTTTAGTGTGTATTATTTTTTCCTGGTAAAGTAATGTAATAATAGAAACCCTGGTTCCCCTTCTATGTGAATTGTTCCATGGCAAATACACTGAGCCTTCTCAGACGTAATAAAAAACCATAGTTAAGTATTGCATGTTTCAAATGCTGCAAGCCTTGGGCTTGGAGGCTGCCCACCTCCACCTTTTGTAAAATTGTATAGGTAGTGGTGGTGAGATTGAGATGTTTTTCTGATTTTGGTCTAAGTAGAGTTCTCTGCTGCATCCAGACTCAGGATATTCTGGTTTATGCTCTAGTTCAGGGATGTGCAACATATTAATGCCATACAGCCCTTTTGGGGTGTGTGTGGAGCTTTGTTGTTTTTGTTGTTGTTTGTCCCTGGCTATCATTCGTATTAATAAAATTGAAGATTTCCCCTTCCTACTTCTTCTGAATGGAAAAAGCCATTCAGTCCTGTACAAGGATCCCTCTGAAGCAGGGGTCATCAATCCCCGGTCTGTGGCCCCCGGTCTGGGCTTGCTGGAACTGGGCCGCAGATACAGATCTCCACACCCGCCAGCACACGTGTGGTGGGCGTGTCACGCTCACAGGGGGTGTCGTGCCTGCGGTGGGCGTGTTATGATTGCGCACATGTATGAGCGCAACACCCCCCCGCACAAGCATGACACACCCACTGCAGGTGCAACACTCCCACTGCTTTCACTTGGGGGGTGCCCCCCATGCATGGAGCTCGCTCCCCCCAGCTAGTCAGCAGCCCCAAAAAGGTTGGGGACTGAAAGCATGCAACTCTCCCTCCCTCCACTCAGTTTCCTCCATGCAGCCCCTTTGGTTCCAGTAGCAAAGGAACCCCATGCACATGGGTGGTGGTGGAGTCACACATACACACAGGGGAGAAAACACAAGAGAGAGAGAGAGGCGAAGCCTCACCCAGCAGGGCTGAAAACTAGAGGGTATGTTGGTCCTGTAGTGTTGTAGGGCTCTGTGGTATAGGAGGGTATGCTGACATGGAGAATTAGGAGGTTGCCACCAAATTTTGACACCTGCTGATGCTGGGTGGCTGCAAACTGCTTCCCAGAGGTAATGATGTACCCAACCCTAAATTGTCCATTGTTGCTCTAGTCAGTTTAGGCAAGGCCAGAGCCCAGTAAGCCCTGATTTGCTAAGGATCTAGATTTCAGCAAGCCAGGGTTCCCTGAGAAGTTCTTGTTATCTTAGTAGGGGTAATAGATAATTCTGACCTCTTCCTCAGACATATGTCAGGTAAAGAGAGGGGAAATAAAGAATGCAGAAGCCCAAGATTTGACATAGCTGGTTTATGTAGTAGAAAACCATGATCTAATGTCTCTTAAGTCCCTGAGATGCTGGCTGTACACAACGGTGGGTGGGTTGTTGTTGTTTTGTTTGTTTTTATTAAAATGTGGGATAAATTGTTGTATTCTTATAAACTCAACTCTCAAAATGGAAGTTGAGCTTTCTAGTTCAGTTGAATAGATAAAAGAAAACTTCCCAAACCATTTCCATAACAGGCTTCTACAACTATGAGGTTTTCCTCTTAATAGTTTGGGTGTGTTTTTCACATATAATGTTTTCAGAAATGTATGAATCAATCCAACAGAGCTGGAATAATGCTGCCTTACAATATAACAGCAGTATTCTTTCTTCAGACTCTTTGTAACTGGGAGCGCTAGGGTAGTGTGACTGTAACTTTTTGGTTCTTCGAAACGTTACTGAATTCTAACTCCCATCACCTCAGTAGGCATAGAAGCAGAAAGGAAGATGGGAGCTGAGGTCCTGCGACCTACTGGAGAGCCACATGTTTCCTAGGACCTTTCTGAAACATGGGATTTAAGCGAGGACACCCAGCTTTAGGATTAGTTTGCATAGCCAACTCCCTGTCCTTAAAAATAAGCTCAGTATTGTATACCTGCAAAACTAGTGGATGCTTGTTTGCAAAGGTGCTTAATGTGGTAATGTTTGAAAACAGTTTCATGTCTGTCACGTAGCCAACAGTGGATGGCACAGGAGATTAATGAAATGAGCTTCCTGAACAGCTGATGTGCAGTTTAGAACAGTAACTGAAACAGGATTTCTTGACGATGTGCTTTGACAAAGACTCAGTGGGCAAGAGCTCCCTGAGGGTTCTGTAGTTTGAACCTGTTTGTACCATTTGCAACTGTCATTTGTAGCTCATAAGTGTGTGCCTAATTTGCTTTGTGGCAGTGCTCCAGAATGTTATCAGATTTCTTTAGATCTTCTTTAAAACTGAAAGCTCTATAGCTTTTTTCTTTTTCTTTTCTTTTCTTAATCTTGACAAAAGAAGAAGAAGAAATAAAGTGGGGAGGAAAATAATGATTGGAGTCTGTCTTGGGGAGATACTTCTGCTGTTCCATTTGAAACAAATATTTGATTGCACTGTTATGTTTCTGGTTTTAAAAGTTGTGACAAGTACCTCTGTGTTTGCTGTATTTAGTATTTGCTAACGAACATCCAGTTATACTTTTGTTAAAAATGCAACATGAAAAAGAAAGACAAACAGTACCTTAATTCTGTTTCTCTTTTTCTTCTTCCTTCCACCTCATACTTTTCATTATGTATTTCTTCATGCCTTTTTAAACAATATTTTTATCTTTTGTTCATCCATGTTCCACTTATATTTCCATGGGACACTGTTCTGTGCACTGTCTGTCCCTGGACACTGCACACAGCTCACCCTTTCTTTTTTCAATCAGGATGGCGGCCTAGTGGAAGAGCCCACTACTTCACCATTTTTGCCTTCACCAAGCCTGAAGCTCCCCCTTTCAAACAGTGCACTCCCTAATCAGACCCTGGGCGGGATTGCCTCAGGGCTGGGCATGCAAAACTTGAATTCTTCTAGACAGGTAAGGTGCTTTTCGAGTGACAACTTTGTGTGAATGTCAGCACGCTTTCCTTTACTGGTCAAAGAAAAACCTGTTTTTCAGTGTCCATTTTAAATTCTCACACACTCAGGTGGGGATTTGGTGCTGGTTGACAGTTTCTGGCACAATTTGTCATAAGAAATATCTAAATTATGCTAAAACAAAAGCTGTAGTGTTTGGAAAGTGCCCTTTGAAGTATAAGTGGCCCCTGGATGGCCAAGTAATTGAACAAGTGACATTTTTTAGTTATCTTGGGGTATGGTTTGCAGTCCCACCATCTGCCTGCTTCTGCCTTGAAGGCTTCAAGATTTGTACAGTTAGTTTGTTTTTCTGCAACAAACTATGGGGATATGGCCACTCTAGGGAGTATTTAACCAAAGGGAGTATTTAACCAAAGCGATCCCACAGTTATCTTGGGGGCAGGGGAGAAATCTTTGGAAATAGAAACAAAAAAACTTTTGGAAACTATGCAAAGTCAATTTTTCAAAGGTTTGCTTTGTTTGCCTCCATCCACCTCAGCATCTACTATTAGAATTGAGATTGGGATTATGCTAATACAATTGTATATCTGTGCTGCTTGGTTCACATATTTCTTTAAGCTTCTTAAAATGGAAAAATTCAGGTTACCAAAAAAAAATGTTTTCTAGAACAAATGAAATCTGACAGCCAAAATATCTGAATGGCAAATGCTAGCCTTTGATTGAATTCCACATGTCTTCCAGGCAAGAATTTGGGAGTAGATCCACACATTTATAAAGGAAACATTGAGGGATCTTTACACTCAGTAAGATTTAAATGCAATTAAGATGTCATTATTTTCCCCTTATTTGTACTTCTTGAAATTATGCATAAATTATTTACATGAACTGTGATCCCCTTCCCTTAGGAAAGAATTTTTGGCATTAAGATTTCAAACTATGTCATCACAGTATGTGAAAAGTGCTATATCAGACACCAGCATCACACTGTTTGCGTATATGCAGAGTCCAAGTAGTAGAAGGTGGACAACATTACTTACTGAATTGCTCTTTATAGTCTAAACTTAGAACGAAGTTTATATCAAAATTTGCTGGAGAATATACCAGATAAAAGTGACCAAAATAAAATCATCTATCTGTTGTCTGATGTTAATAAAGTGGCAACAGAGAGAGTAATAAGATTTGCAGTAGCTGCCCAGAAAGTGAGGAAAAAATAGGTAATAACCCATATGGTTAATTCAAAGGGTTTAATTTTTAATTAAGTGCATTTTAATTTGTTTATACTTTGCTTTTAATCTAATACTTTGTGAATGTATTTTGTGTTCGTACTTGTACTTTTTCATTTGCTAGCATTATGGTGGTGAGCTAACACTCCATGTGTACATATTTCTATTAGTATTTATGTTTTGTTTGTAATGCTAGTGGTTGTTGAATGACCAAAGCAGTTAAATCAACAATAAAGATTAAAGAAGAACTTAAAGAATATGAATAAACAATACCTCTTTCTCCCTGTGCCACTCTGGCACTCCTTCCCATCTCACTGAGCCAGTCCTTCTCACAGCTTCTAATTCTTTCACCTCCTCAGCCCTCATCTTTTCCCCATCTCCTCAGATCATGATCATGGAATGTGTTTCCTACCTCAGGGTCTTCTATCCATCTCCCCTTATACACAGTCTTTTTATCTGCATTATACAGCTGGTAGTTGGGCACCAACTGGCTCTCATTGTCAAAGCAATGACAATATTTTGTAAATATTATAATAATTTATTATTTAGCTTATAACTTTGTTTCTTTTAATGCTCTAAGCCACTGGTTCTTAACCTTGGGTTACTCAGGAATTTTGGACTGCAACTCCCAGAAGCCTTCACCACCAACTGTGCTGACTGGAGTTTCTGGGAGTTGCAGTTCAAAAGCATCTGAGTAACATTAAGAACCACTGCTCTAAGCCACCTTGGATCCCTTAGGAGAAAGGTGGCATATAAATAATTTAAATTAATAATACATAAATAAAGGCAACACTCCGAAGCTGAAATCTAGGGACCCGGCAGTACAGTATCTCTGTCTCACAGGTTGGTTACAGTGATATAAGGACGTATCCCTAAGTTCCACATGGATTCTTGGGAGGAAGTGTGAAGACAAACTATTTCTAGGCTCAGTTCATATATATGGCTTTGAACTTTAAAGCCCTAACAGGTTGAGATCAGTCTGCCTAAGGAAACATCTGCTTCTTTATGACCTTGCCCGAACACTGAGATCCATATTACAGGGTTAATTTGTCTCTTTCTCTTCCTCCTTCATTATTCATGATTCACATATCCACCTGTTTTTGCCAAACTGCATCAGATTTTGTGATTATACCAAAGAATAAAAAGATACAATTAAAAAGTAACCAGCAGTAACTTCTTTTTTTAAAAAAAATGTAAAAGGAATGGTTCAGACAATTAAAAAATGGAAGCTATCATTGGTATCCTTCTTTCTTTTCTCCAGCTAGCATTAAGAAGGGTGCCTCTGAGCATGTATGGCTTGTCTTTATTAGGGCCTAGTAATTAGCTTGTTTTTACACAATTTTGTGGATTGATGAGGAAGAAGACTAGCAATCTATCTTGCAGAAATGGAGTATCACCAATTTCAGGTTACTAGAAAGAAAACTATGGCATTCTCCTCAAGAACAGAGTTGGAAAAACTACATCCAGGCAGAATCTTCTACTGTATGTTGTGGTGCTAAATTTTTGGAGCATCCTCCAAAGGGCAGTACACTTTGGTACATCCTTAGTGGATATCAGATTGACTGTGAAGGCAATATTTTAACAGACTCTCCTATGTTGGCATGTTGTAATTTGCAATGCAGTGCTGTCTTTTTCTTTAATTTTATTTAGTTTTTTAAAAAATAAGCAAACTCTACATTGATATGCTCCATGAATGAATGATAACAGAATAGTAGCTGAATGCCAGGAGATAACCTGTGATAATTTTATTCTCTGACAATGTCTTTGTGATGTTTTTCCCTTTTTCTTATGCGTAGAAAGCAGATGCAGAAACTAGAAGTCTGACCAAAGCATGCTGAGCAGTCATTCTGACACTGAATCCCCGAATCCAATTAGTTATGAAAAAAAAGTTTTCATCTGTATCCAGTAATATACATTCCACATATACAACATGTGTATGTGTGTGTTTTAGCTGAAAAACTCTTTAGTTTTGTATACCTAGGGAAATGTTCATTCACTATGACATTTACTTATTTGGCACATAAAGAAGAAACAATGGCTTGCCTACATGTGGGCATTATGGGTAGATAGATGAACATGAAAAGACAGTCAGCTACAATACATAAATCCCTGTTTTTAAAAACAGCATGCATTTTTTCACTTGTGAAGGTTGAGTTTACTTATGGAGTCATTGTAAACAGATTTTTAAAAAATCCTGCACTACGCTGCATATATGACATGTAAAAAAGGTCAAAAGGAGGTGCCTATTTTTAGTTACTTCACATGCATGTAGCTTGTGGTTATTTCATGTTTCATAACAAATATAAACCTCCTACAGGCACTTATACAGATGGATGTTTTTGTTTGCATTTAGTTGGTTGTTTTGCATTTGATAACCAAAGCCTATAGCAACTCCCTACATTGTTGTTTTGACAACATTATTGCTAGTGGGGGCATGTATGAGATGGCCTGGCTGGAGAACGTACACTTTTATGGAGAGCTTTTGCAAGCACCATAGCCAAAGGAGAGTACCTCCACAAAGTAGATTTTGGTTGTAGGTGTGATTTAAATTTTTATCTTGTGATTCCTTTAACGTTGCTATACAAGATTTCCTGTCAAATTGGCATTAATACACAGCTACCAGTTTTGCATTTTGTAGGACCTTGACACTAAATCTTCTCTGAATCATCCATGGAAGCAATTGCTAATCTGCCTAGCTGCTCTGTGGCTTTCTTGAACAGTGGGGCTGGTCCCCAAGTGGTCCCCATGAGCCTTAAAGTCTCTAACCTTGTCCTTCCACAGATACCGAGTGGCAATCTGGGTATGTTTGGCAATAGCGGAGCAGCACAAGCCAGGACCATGCAACAGCCGCAGCAACCGCCAGTGCAACCTCTTAACTCATCCCAGCCTAGTCTTCGTGCTCAAGTGCCTCAGTTTCTCTCCCCTCAGGTTGGATGGAGCTCTGTTGCATTTGTGACAGCCAGGGGCACAGACTTTCAAATATCACCGTGCACAGCAACTTAATACAAAAGTTGTACTAACTGGCAACTGGGTTGCTGAGGAAGTCAGGCTCCCGGTCTTCATTCTTGGCTCTTCAGTTTAAAACAAACCAATGGTTGCAACCATTGTGGTAGCCATAACTAGGGCTTCCTGAGTAAAACACTCAAATACAGGGAATTCCCCTAAATTTAACTGTACAAGAATATGATTGGTTGTGCTAGTTTGCAACAGTACAGATATGCTCCTGCAGAATGTTTCTGTGAAAGCCTTAGGGGTTATTCAGATACCATAGGATGTTGAAGTTTCCTAGCTAGTATACTTGTTTTCAGAAAGACCACATATTCTCTGCTCCTACATGTTGTATCAAAGCATATTTCTGAGTAGAATGGCTTATACATCAGATGTAGGAAATAGGACCACTTCTGGAAGGTTTCTGATATTTAGTTTGCTGAGATAATGACACTGTTTCTTTTGGCTTCTGTACGTGGCTTTCTGTGTAAGAAAAAAGAAAAAAAGACAAGGCAAATTGTTCTGTGGGGGAATACAACACTGCAATTAAACACAGGTGTGATATTGGAAGTTTACCTGTTGTGTTCTCTCTTTAGGTTCAAGCACAGCTTTTGCAGTTTGCAGCAAAAAACATTGGTCTCAATCCTGCACTATTAACCTCGCCAATTAATCCTCAGCATATGACGATGTTGAACCAGCTCTATCAGCTGCAGCTGGTGAGTTAAAAGGCAATATGAGGAAGTCGCAAATCCTCAATGATAGCATCGAGTATAAAGCCATGGTACTTATATTCATTTTCAGAAATAACTAGGGCTCTTTCTGCTGGTTCTTGTACATTAGTCTCGAAACCAGAGTCCTGTGGTACCTTATTAAAGGCTAATGGCTTTCACTTGGCATTACCACTCATGGGCTGCAGCCCACTGTATCAATTACAGGAATTGCTGACTGAAGTTTGTGGCAAATACAACTTTAATAACTCTTTAAAGTGTCATTTAGTTGTTTTGTTCTCCCTGAACGAAGACTTAGTGCATCTATCCCTCAGAGACAGGGCAACACATAACATTTTGTGAATTTCAGTTATTTTTATACACTTTTGATGATTGTCATGATTTTTTTTCTGTTCTCAGCTTTTGAAACATATACATAGGAAAACGGTGTTGTAATATCGGTAATGTTTTTGGAGTTGCATCTCATTTTTGTTCTATTTGCAATTCCTTAATTTTAAAATTATAGATTAGTCATTATTAGGACCTGCACATTTTCGCTCACCAATAATTCTTAACTGTGTATTATTGCTATTCTTTTGTACACAAATGGGAAACTGTGTTGTTGTAGGACTGCAGTTCCTGTGATGTCACCATTGACCATGATAAGCAGGGCTGCTGAGAGTAGCAGCTAAACAACGTATAGTGGGCCACTGTTTCCCATTCATGTTTTATGCAATTACTGCTGCCCTCAGAACATCTTTATTGCTGTTTCTAGGTCGTATGAAGTTGTTGCAAACAGTTTTTGAAAAGCTGATGCAAAGCACAGGATTCATTGCTTCAGGCATTTAAAGTACCCTGCATCAATGAACTGACCTGAAGATGTGTTGACCAGTTGAAATGTGCAGAAAATGAATATAGAGCTTCTTGCGTTTATCACATCTGAGAGACCATAGACAAAGGGCTCTATGCTGACTCAGTAGTGATCTTAAAAATAACTAAAACTTGGATTAGCCACAGATCAGAGTGAAATCATGGTTTGAAGCTAGTTTGCAAGTGGGCAGCTGTGTTGGACACTTTCAACAAAGCAAACAAAAGAGGATTAATGCTAATAATTTGTAAACATTGCATCTGTATTTATTTTTGTGGGCAATTGTCCCATTATTGTCAGTGTGTACACAAGGATAACCAAACCCTTTTTCAACTTGAGGACCATGGTACATATCCATTGGAAAAGTTTCTGTGGAGAACATGTCTCCAGTAGGTTGGATTAGGGTTCCCATTTATTCTTTCTCACCGTTACAATCCTGATCCATTCATTTAATCCATTATTTTTCACTTCTGTCACTTTTAGTCATCTTTCTACTGTCCTATACCTCATACTGTCTGTAGCTGTCTCCCTATATCCCCAGCCCCCTGTCTGGATCTTTGAAAAAAGCTCTCATTGGCTCCAGACCCTCCCGCCCCCAAAGAGAGCTGCGGGGGCAGCAGAGCACATGAAAAGGGTATGGCTGCCTTTGCCTTCCTGACTCCATGCTATTGCATCCCAGCCCCTCAGCACCAGCTTTGAGAACTTTTCCATTTAAGGTATTGGAAGACTAATTCCATCAGACCGATCATTTCTGTGGGCAGTCTAGAGGGCAAAGTAGGTCTTTTATCCCCCCTACCCACTAGGAATGTTTAAGAAGCCTCTTTTAGTACCAGTGGAAAAAAACTTTCAAGCCAAATTGCTGGTCAGGAAAGGGTGGGGCGTGAGGATTGGCCCATATGCTGACTGGAGAGGCCTTGCAGACAAGAGGTTCCTTCCCTTCCTTGGTGTGTTTTCCTCGTCAGCTATTGAATAGCTTTCTACCTACTTCAGTTGCCTGTATTTGCAACTGATTTCAAGGAACTCTACCCAGTCAGAAGGACCAGGGATCATTGCCCAAAAAAGAACAGCTAATGACACCCATCAATCACAGTGACAGATAACCCCTCCCCCCCTTATCACAACGAAAACACACTGATCACCCTATCTCCTGAGAGGGACAAAAGTTGTTCCCACAGCTATAAATACTCAACTATCCAACAAACAGCAACAGAGCATGGACAGAGTTCCTACTCCAGTCCTCTGAAGATGCCGGCCACGGAGACTGGCAAAACGTCAGGAAGAACAACCTTCAGAACACGGCCAAAGAGCCCAAAAAACCCACAACAACCATCATGATTTCCACTGATTTCAGTCTCTGGCTCTTCAGTGCAGTTACTAATGTCAAGAAGACCAATGGAGTATCATTTGCTGTGGAATGGCAGGATACACTATTAACAAATAAACATGTCATGCTCTCTGTAATGTGATTTTACTAATGACTGTATTGGGCCTTTTCACTTTGTGACCTTAGACTTCGCTCATTTCCAACTTGCAGGCGTACCAACGTTTACAAATCCAGCAGCAGATGTTACAGGCTCAGCGTAATGTTTCCGGACCCATCAGACAACAGGAGCAGCAAGTAGGTTAAACCTGCTGTCTTAGTTCTGTGGCTTCTAAATCTGTTTCTTGTATTGCTTTTACCTAACATTTTTAATGTACATAATGTTATTAATTCTTCTTTTATATTTGAATAATTTACTGTTTTTAGCTTTTAATATTATTAATACTTAATAAATTCAAATTAACATTAATTTTATGATGTAAGCCATCCTTTTTAGGAGAAAAGTGGGGTAAAATGTTTTAAATAAATAAAATATTTCTAGATGTATAGTCTCAACGGAATCTAGTACATTAGGTGAAAAACTCTATTTGTGAAGTAAGCCTACTGCGTTACATGCTGGTGTGAAGGCATAAATCCCTCCCAGGAGCAATGGACGTCCATTTCCTTTCCCTGGCATGCATTTAATGCATCTATTGCTTAAGCCATTGAGAACATTTTCTGTTAGGTGGTTCAAGATTAAAAATAGAGATGGAGCTATTCGTATTCATATACAAATACCACTGCACATCTGGACTTAATGAGGGTCCAGACCATCCACTCACTCATCAGCTGGTGGCAGCCCCTCTCTTCCTTTCAGTCGCTCCCAGAGCCCTGCTGGGCTAGCCACTCCTGGCAATGGGAGGGAGGACGAGTCTCCCTGCAAGGCTGCTGAGTCATATTTGAGACTTATTTGTATATCACCATAAGTGATATTTGTATGCTCCCATCTCTGATTAAAAGTATCATAAGAATAGACATAGTCTAGAAGGGTGGGAAAAAATCTTATAAATAAATAAATCATGAGGTTCTTAGTCTAACATGTATGTTTGCCTTGTTGCCAGGTTGCACGTACAATCAATAACATGCAGCAGCAGATCCAGCAGCACCAGCGCCAGCTGGCCCAGGCCCTGCTTATGAAGCAGCAGCCACCCCCTCCACATCTGTCTTTGCACCCCTCTGCAGGCAAATCAGCCATGGATAACTTTTCACCCCACCCCCAGGCTCCTGGCCTATCTGACCTGCAGACCAAAGAGCAACAGTCTTCACCGAACACCTTTGCTCCTTATCCCCTTGGTATGTGCACAATGTACTCCAAAAATATAGCTATAGTCATGGTGTCATTTTGCTTAGCTCTTTTAATTGCTGCCACTACTGTTTTCTTTGTTATCCCTGCCTTTTTTATTATTAGCATCTGACTTCTTCATAGTGAAATTGCCAACCTGCTACCACCCTTAGGCGATTACCTGTAGGGGCAGTTCCTCATGTTCTTTTAAAGACATAAGGATATTTCAAGTAAAATGTTGAAGTGTTGTAACTATCCCATGAGAGAGATCTGCCCCCGAGATGGTCTTTTTTTTTTTTGAAGGAAATTACTTCTTTACTGCTAGATTAGCTTTCAGAAGATATAGTAATGAACAGTAATTTAGATTACTTTAAGACAATTAGCTTCTGCCCCCACCCCTTGCCACCAGTGTACTGATCGGTTCTTTTTCTTCTGCCTCAGTGTTTTCCTTAACTCCTAAAAGGGTCGATCTGCTTGCAATTCAGGCTTGCAGCAACAAGGGCCAGGAATTGAGGTTATCTAATAACCTGTCCACTTCCCTCTTAGCTGGATTGAACCCAAACATGAATGTAAACAGCATGGACATTCCTGGTGGTTTGTCAGTGAAGGATACTTCTCAGTCCCAGTCTCGCCTTCCTCAGTGGACACACCCCAACTCAATGGATAATCTTTCCAGTGCTGCTTCTCCACTTGACCAGAATCCTAGCAAGCACGGTAGGTATGAAGACCATGTGCAAGAAACCTCCTTTTGAAAATATCCACATACTTCTTAGCCATGGCCTTTGGAGAGTGCCTTTTCATAAAACACTGTATACCATGGAACATGCCAGAAGTTGTATTTGGAAGGAGCAATAAACAAATACAATGATCTCAGCTAAAATGTGCATGGAGAAGGTTATTATTAAATGTATACTCTGGTAAATATTTAATTTATAATTGGTCTTAGTTATCTGGGGCATATTTTGGGGCTATTTGTCAAAACAATAGTTTGCAAGTACAGATAAATAATAATTATTAGGAAGATTATTGTTAATATATTATTCAGATTGTGAAATGTATATAGGTAAGTTGCGCCTACACCAATGGTCAGGAAAACTGAATTACAAATATTCAATTTCCATTTGAAATGTTACTCCTTAAGATTTCATTCACCATTTTGAAAACTTGCTGGAAAATAAAAATAATGACTGAGCCAGAAACTGGAAACGAGAATGCGAATAGATGGAAGAGACCACAACTTCAGGCATATCCATTTTTTTAAATGGTTAAGACTGTAATCCAACATGCTCTGGAACTCAGTGAGACTTTTGACTAGACTTAGAGAATTGAATTATACATGTGTTAGATTTTTTTTTCAAGACTACTTAAAACAGAGAAATATGAAATGCTCAGAAAAGTTTTTGCTATTCACTTATATGAATAATTCCCAAATAAACACATCCCAGAGAGAGCACAGATTATCTGCCAGCTGTGCTCACTATCCATCACATTAGTGGAAATCATATGCAAACTACAGGAACTGTATATGGAGCTAAACTGAAGATTAAATATGGCCCTCAGGGTCATTATACATGTTACCTCAAATAGTGTAATCATTGCATCTAACTCAACGTTCAAAGTCATGTTTCCCCAGCTCATTGCTAATATTGTGCTCTGTAAAAACATTTGCACTTCATGTGTGCATTAATTTAATACATTGCTTTAGGATTTTGATTGTGTCCAGAACAAAATGCCTTTTGCTCACATTCAGTTCAAGTTCTTTATGCCATTAGAATGGTACTGTTTTTCACTTCGCCAGTACAAAATAAATTCTTTATACATGTGGTCATATGTAGGTTTGGCTGTGTTGAATGGGTTTTACTCGCAGGACAGGGTGGAGAGGTCTGGAGCATTAGGTTGCTATGCATCATGGTCATATTGCTTGCAGGGGTACCTTCCGTGAGCAGGAGAGTAGCAATCCCTCTTCCATTATCCCCCACCCACCCAACCAGGGCAGGAGGAACAACCCTAGATTGGTAGGAAAACTTCCAGAGCAGGGTTCCAGCATGAAAGGGAACTGAAAGGGAGGCGTATCATATCTGTAACTTTGGAAGTAGCCTCCTGGATTAATTGATTATCTATCTATCTATCTATCTATCTATCCATCCATCCATCCATCCATCCATCCATCCATCCATCCATCCATCCATCCATCCATCCATTTATTCATTTATTTATAGATTTTTATCCCTCCCTTCTAGACAGGAGTCTACTCAGGGCGGTTCACAATATAATGTGCACAAAACAGATTTAAAAACAACAATTAAAATCTACAATAATAATATAATCAAGATGGGAAGGTAACAAAAAACCAAGAAAAGTGGAAATCAAGTATTGGCAGGAGGGAAGGCCTGCCTGAAGAGCCAAGTTTTTAATTGGCTCTTGAAAACACCCAGCGAGGGTACCAGACAGATCTCTGGCGGCAAGCTGTTCCAAAGTCGAGAGGCCACTGCCTAGAAGGCCCAGTTTCTTTTTCTTTCTTTCCAGACCTCTCTTGGCCTCAGGCCCCTCAGCCATCTTTCCTGATACTAACTTATCTTCTACCCTAATTTAATCTGCTACCTTTCATTTATCTATATACAGTCACAGTTGAGTTATGTGACTGGTACATTGTTATATGTAATATTAAAAAATGTATAGAGTGAAAGAAGAAAAAATGATATAAGCGGACATTAAGCAGTCCAGCCCCACGTTAACTTTGCTCTTATTTCTTGCATTCTCTTCCCATGCACCCTTTCCTTATTCCAGGTGCTATCCCTGGAGGTCTGAGTATCGGTCCTCCAGGAAAGTCCTCCATTGAAGACTCATATGGCCGGTATGATCTGATTCAAAACAGCGAGTCACCAGCCAGTCCTCCTGTAGCCGTTCCTCACAGCTGGTCACGTGCCAAATCTGATAGTGATAAAATCTCTAATGGCTCCAGCATCAGCTGGCCACCAGGTAAGAAAGGAGACCTACTCTAGAGTTGTAAAACCATCAGCCATTTGTTCAAACCTCTGTACTGAGGAGTACTTTCAGTAGCCAAATATTATTGACAGATTAGTCCAGCATGGATCACATGTGTGTTCTGTAACACGGAAATACTTCATTGGAAGTGCTCCTTATGAAGCATTGTTTGTGATAAATGTGTATTCTCAGGAAAGCAAAAGTTTTATCCCAGTGAAAACATATATGAAAATGAAGTAGTCCTGAATGAAATAGGAAAATCTATCCAAGGAACCTTCCATAAACTACATTTTCTTAACACCTTCCGCAAAATGTCCTTCCCATCATGAGGTGCCTTGTTTCTCACATGTTATTCAATCACACAATTTCCTCCACTCCTGTCTATCTTGGGAGGAAATGTGATTATGTCATCAATTTTTCCCCAAACAGAATTTCATCCTGGAGTTCCATGGAAAGGATTGCAGAACATTGACCCTGAGAATGATCCCGATGTTACACCTGGAAGTGTTCCAACAGGGCCTACTATTAACACCACCATACAAGATGTTAATCGCTATCTACTCAAGAGTGGAGGTAGAGGAACAGTCATGTGTCCTGTTGCATTTGTTGCTTCCCTTGCTTTCCTCTCAGTTTTTATGGTACCCCTTAGTCTGAAACACAGCCATCTGTATTTGGCCCCAGAGGTGATGTGATTTGCAGCTGTATGCATCTTTCCTCAGCGTTTTCTTGTTTGAACACCAAAGAGCCAAGGGCAGCTGCATGTTTAATCAGAGGAATGGGACTGTTTTTCTTCTCAGCCCCCTCCGAACAGCTTTTTCTACTTATGAGACAGAGGATAACAGTCAGATAGGGAGGAGATTAAGCACCCTCTTCCCTCCCATCCAGTTTCACAGCCCTCAAGTGCTGAATTTGACTGGTGATGGTTTTTAAGGAAATATGGAGAAAGAGACTCTAATTGAGTACCATGTCTTGTTTGATGCTCACTCTTGTGCAATTAAAAGCTGGAAATAAATACCATGTAATTTGTAGCTCTTAATTCACCTTAAACTCCGATTTGACATTTGTTTCTTCTTTCTTTGATCAATAAAGACATAATTTAAGAAGCTGGTGACAAGGCTTCCTTGATCATTTGTGGACTTTTAAGCCCATGACAAGTTTTAAATAGAGTGGGCTTGAAACGCTGGTGTTCCTAGAAGTTGCTTTGGCATCACTGGGTTTCAGTAAGGATTTCCTTCTTACTTACCTCTTCTGTAAGTTACAGCTATGAAGTCCTAATTTGATAGAAGCAATTGCCTTGGTATAAACCTCACTTCAGTGGTGTTTCTTCTTCATAGTCTTCTGTCATTTACACACCTGTGTAAATTTATATGTCTGCATGGTGCACCTTCGGAATCTACAGACTGTGTGCCCAAGGCTTTCTCCTCTTCCTTTGCCTACTGTGCATGTCATCTCAGTCCATTTCTGCCCATCACAACAGGAACACCTCAAATTCTAGTGTGTGTTTAAAACTGCTATTATTGCAGTTTTTTAGATATAGTTTGCTTTATAGTTTGCTTACTTTTCTTCTTATTACTCTTTTTTTGTTATTTGTTTAAAATAGAGGGGAAAAGTCACTCCATCATTGTTTTAGAACCTTCACTTTTTTTCCACTTCATTTCCTCAGAGGTTTCCCACCATGTTTTTAATGGTCACTCTAGCCTTAGTGAAAAACTGTACTGACTGTGAAGCAAAAATCTCTCAGGCTGATGGACATTTGTAAATGCCTTTATTGTCTTGGTGAGGGACATTTAGGGTTTTTTTTTTAAAGTGCCACTAGTAAGGGATTTACACAAGTACCACTCCACAATCGGGAGTCTTGTTTTGTTTTTGTGGTAGAAGTCACTGAAGACGTTTTGTTCCATCTTTGGCCTTCTTAAAGGGCATACCACCCCATGATATTTATAAAGCTGCTGCTTGGTCTCAGCCCATGACATTTGTCAAACACTGCAGACTGGACCTTTGTGCTCAGAGAGGTGCTTCTTTTCAGAGAGTTAGTTTTGTCTTTTGTGTTACTGTGACACCCAGTCTTAAGTACAGGTGCTTGCCAATCAACCATATGTATGAATTAGAAGACCACAAATGAAGAGGACAGGTTACTCATCTGTAACTGTGGTTCTTCAAGTGGTAATTCTGTGCACTCACACAGCCCTCCTACCTCCCTGCTAGTCCTGATATTTTGTAGTGACTTTGTGGAGGACAGGTTGAGACAGATGTGAAGAGGAGGGGCATGTGCAGTAGGCTAGGGAAGAAGAGGGATCACTGGGCATACAGGCTCTAGTAGATTCTGAGGGTGTGTGTGCAGGTACACCCAGGTGTGTGAATGTACAGAATGACCATCCAAAGAAATGCAGTTACAAGTGAGCTTTTTTTTTCATGTTGGGAGGGAAAGTAGATTTTGGTGTGTTGTGGAGAATGATTTTCATCAGGGAAGAAGGTAAGGGGGAAGAACTGTTAACCTTTCTTTCTCATTACTAGGCTCCCTGTTTGAGTCATGATACCCCTACATCGGGGGGCTTTTTACTGAACTCTTGTTTAAAAAAAAGTATCAAAAATGTGTTAGTTCATCATGAGGGCTCTTCATTGCTGTCCATTACTAGGAAAGTGGAAAGCATGTATTTCTACTGCCACTTCTAAACTCAATAAGGAAGAGAAGGACAAAAAGGAAAGGAGGGAAGCTAGGAAGATGTAAAATATAATCCTGGAAAATATCAAGTACTGTACTGTAGTAATAAGGAGTATCCAACTCCCTTGTTACAACACTCCATTTTCTTCCAATTCATTTTGGGGCAAAATTTAAGGTATGATTTATTATTGTTATGATCTATTAAGCCCTACATAACTTGAGGCCAATACGACATCCTCTTTTAAGAGCTAGCCTGGAGTAGTTGATCCTTGAAAGGTTGCTTCTGTCTAGTCCACTATCACCCGGATTGTGTTTGATGAAAATAAGAGAAAGGACCTTCTCAGTGCTGTTCCAAGGCTCTGGAATTCCCTGTGACAGGAGTCTAGGCTCATTCTATCTGTGCTGTCCTTTTCCTGAGAGCCAAAGACATTCTTACGTATCTGTGAAGTTTGTCAGTCATCCAGGTGAGGTTATCTGGAAGTTGAGGTATGGCAACTGGGCTTCTTGCTTATTAGATTGAAATGTTTCACTACTCATCCAAGTAGCTTCTTCAGTCTGAGGAGAGTTGGTAGGAGATCCCTGATATATCCTCCAGGTTGGTTTCACTTTCCCCTGGTCTGAATAGGCTCCTTAGATGGACAAAGGACTGAGGGTTAGTGAAAATCCCACCTTTGCAGTCCTTCTCCACCCATTGTCATGAGTTGTTAACAGTCATTAACAGTGGTCTTTCTGGTAGGTGTGGTCCTGATTGGTCTATCTACATTCTTATGTAGATATGCATCCAGCCTTTAAGATGACTTGTTCCTTTGCTGAATGGGTTTTAACTCATACATTTGTTTTATTCCCTCCTTTTATCTATAGTTCCAAGTGCTTGGTTTTAAAATTAAATTATAACTTTGCTTTTTTTCTTGTCTTTTTATTATTATTATT